ACCCCGTGGAGGTTCAAGTCCTCTCCTGGGCACCATAACTTTGAGGTGCCATGTTACTCCTAATTTTCGCAGCTGATAGCAGCGAGCATTACAGTAATTGCACAGACAGAAAAAAGCCGGCTTAGTGCCGGCTTTTTTGTTGGACTCTGGTGGACACGTTCAAGCTAGAGAAAGTCGTCCGCCACAACCAGACCGACAGGCTCGCCTCCACCTGCTGCGTCAACAGCAACAGCGGTGTAAATGCCACCCGCATCAAGATTCACAGCAACTACAGGGAAAATCAGCATGGTCGGATCGCCTGCTTCAGTGACATATACGTCATAGCCACCTGGCGCCAATGGAACATATCCCGTTTCAGCGCCAAAAGGTACCGCAGCAAAGTTTGGTGTTAACCCATCAATCGGATCGCCAGTGCCAACCACATAGATGTCGACGTCGCCTGCTGCAGGTGAGCTGTGGAAAATGCGCACGCGGCTCTCTGTGGCTATGCGACGCGGATTATCTACTGCAACGTCATAGGTGAGGCTGCCATCGCCGGCCAAGCCGACCGCTGTAACCGAATAGGTCTCGCCCGCTTCAAGCGACACTTCGTCGAGGGTGTCAATCGCGACGGCGTTAGCATTTCCAGCAACCGTGACCTTAAAATTGGTTGGACCTGCAGCCAGCGGCAGATAGCCCGTGATGGCGCCAAAAGTAGCCCCTTGAACCGGCGAAAGTACATCGTCGATAAGAACATCCACCGGGCCAACATCCGCCGCAAGGTGTCCCACACGCACGTCAGCTGGCGTCTCAGCATCCAACAGTCGCAGCGATGCTGACCCTGTCAGCGCGATCAGCTCAACCGGGGCCGCACCGGGACCCACGTTAGCAATGGCTGCAACAACGAGATCGCTGCCACCGGCCAGAGGCACGGTACCCGAGTCGTACACGACAGTAGAATCCGAAGCTGGCGTGATGCGAATGCGATAGTCACCTGCAGGGACCGTGATCGCATCTGCAGTAAAATCACCGAACATCAGCGTTATCGGGGTAGCAGAAGAGATAGGGTCGGCTGGTGCGGTTACATAGATATCCACCATGTCAGCAATGGGCGTGACGTTAGACGCCGCATGTACAACGCGCAGGCGTACATCCGTATCGGCCACTTCCGGCTGATCATCAACCAGCACAATTGGACCGATGTTGGCTACATCGTTCGCGGCAAAGATGGTCACACGTTGGCCATCGGAAAACGTTTCGGTCGCGGTTATCACCTCAGCGTTGCCGCCGGGGATAATACCTTCTACAACTATGGTGGTTTCACCACCGTCAACTGTGACAAACGCTGCGTCGCCGAAATCGGCGCCAGAAGCTACCACATTGCCGCCAACAGACAGGTTCACAGGTGGCGCATCCTGCGATGCGTGCACGATCTCAAAATCCACTTCACCCAGGTCAGCGATCGGTGGTGTGGGTGCAGGACGAGACGATGAACTGCTGCTGCCGCAGCCGGTGATGAACACCGCTGCCATCGAAATTAAAAGCAATGCCTTACGCATCGAGAGACTCCGTTACTAATTTGCAGCGCAGTCTGCAGACGGATTCGTGAACGGAAAATCAATTTGCGGTATCGAGATATTGACGCCCCCTTCACTTCACAGTGAAGGGTACTTCACCTTCACAGTGAAGGGTACTTCACTCATTCTTAAAAGCGACTCAACCTATTCACGCATGGACGGGGGAAGGTAGTGATCCGCAGTACGCTCGGCTTCAACAAAGACCCGCTTGATGCGTGGATCAACTTGTTTGACTTTTGCCGTGAGTTCAGTGACCGCACTCTCCACCTCTCCAGCTGTTTGTACTGTGGCAAATTCAACTGATGCGGTAACCAGAACAAAATCGGGGCCCATGTGCAGGCTGGCCACCTCGTTAACAGCGGCAACACGCAAATCGTTCAAAAACACGTTTTTTATCAGCTGACGAATAGGTTGTGTTGTGCTCTCGCCAATCAACAAGCCTTTGCTTTCATACGCCAGCCAGATCGCAGTCAATATCAATACCACACCAATTGAGATAGACGCTATCGCATCAAACACCATATTGCCGGTAATCTGATACATCACCAGGCCAAACACGGCAATCAACAAACCCAATGCCGCCGCGGAGTCTTCAAACACCACAACAAAAAGGGTTGGATCTTTACCGTTGCTGACAGCTTCCAGAATCGTCTGATCACCGCGGCTTTTATTAAATTCCTTGAGCGCGACGTACAAAGCGCCCAGTTCAAAGACAAGCGCCAGGCCTAACACTATGTAGTTAATAAAAATATTGGTGATGGGTTCAGATGAAGACAGGTGCATCACACCCTGATAGATCGATGCGCTGCCGCCGAGGGCAAAAATGAGCATCGCTACGATAAAACACCAGAAATAGACTTCTTTACCATGACCAAAAGGGAATTCATGGCTGGCAGGCTTGAGGGACTGTTTCAGCCCAAAAAGCAGCAGGATCTGGTTACCCGTATCTACCAGTGAATGAATGCCTTCACTGAGCATCGCCGCACTACCCGTATAAAAAGCGGCAGAGAATTTAGTGACTGCAATCAGGGAGTTTCCGGCCAGAGCGGCATAGATGGCTTTCTTTGATGAGCCTGCCACTTAAGAAGTCTTCAACGCTTGCGCACGACAACGGAACCAATGGAGTAACCGGCACCAAACGAACAGATCACGCCACAATCACCGCTCTGCAGATCTTCCTGATGCAGATTGAACGCGATAATTGATCCTGCAGAAGCTGTATTGGCAAATTCATCGAGCACAATTGGTGCTTCACCTGGATGGGGGTCGCGCCCAAGCAATCGACGGGCGATCAGATCGTTCATGTTGATATTGGCCTGATGCAGCCACCAACGTTTGATATCTGCTAATTCCAGACCGGCCTTTTTCACCTGACTGTGCAGGTGCTCAGCGGCCATCGGGCACACTTCTTTAAACACCTTGCGACCATTCTGGTGAAATAATTTGTCGTCCGCGAACGGGTTTGAATCATCTGCAAAAGACAGATAACCAAAATTGGAGCGTATGTTGCTGGAATAAGAGGTCACCGCCTGAGTGCTGAGTACGTCATAACTGTGCGGCGCTGTACAGGTATCCGCGCGCTCCATGATCACGGCAGTACTGACATCACCGAAAATAAAGTGGCCATCGCGATCGGTATAATTCATTTGTGGCGAGACCAGTTCAGGATTGATCACCAGCACCCCTCGGGCAGACCCGGCAGCCAGCGCATCGTAGGCCCGGTGTAGCGCAAAAGTTGCCGCTGAACACGCAACCAGCATGTCAAAACCAAATCCTTCGATGCCTAAAGCATCCTGTACTTCGATGGCTATGGCTGGATATGATCGTTGAGTATAGGCGCACGATACAATGACCATATCAATGTCGGCGCTGGTTTTATTGGCCTGAGCCATCGCAGCTTTCGCAGCATGTACAGCCATTTCAGCCTGATGAGATAACTCGTCATCGCTGCGTTCAGACAACACCGGACGCATGCGTTCAATATCCAGAATCCCTTCTTTGGCGTACACATAACGCTGCTTGATGCCGCTGGCTTTTTCTATAAAAGCTACACTGGATAGGGGCTTTTCCGCCACTTCACCGGCGCTGATGGCGGCTGCATTGGCTTCATTAAACGCGGTTGCATAGGCATTGTACGAAGTGACAAGCTCTTCGTTGGTGATGATGTGATCAGGCTTCCACAAGCCTGTGCCGCTAATGACAACTGGGTGCATAGTGTTCTTCTTGTTCGTATGGAGTTTGTTCTTGTCTTTACTGACCTTGTTGAAAGTCGTGCTTGCGCAACTGCAGGGGCCTGCCTACGTCGGCAGACTGGACCATTCCGGCTCCGTCAAAGGCCGCGCCTGATCTTCAATCATAACCGGAAAGCCGTCTTCAATGGGGTAGGCAAGCCGGCTGACACGACACCACAATTCCTGTTGTTCACTTTTATAGTGCAGTTGGGCTTTGCTCACGGGGCAAACCAACATTTCCAGGAGTTTTGAATCCATCTCGCGTTCCCGCCTCAGCTTTTAAAGGGATTATTCAGCACAATCGTTTCATTACGATCGGGGCCGGTCGAGATAATGTCAATAGGGGCGCCTACCGCCTCTTCGATACGTGCAATATAGGCTTGAGCTGCCTTGGGCAGTGCCTTCAAGCCGCTGGCGCCGACGGTGGATTCCTGCCAACCCGGCAATTCTTCATATATCGGGGTCACTGCAGAATAATATTCACTGCCAAACTGGGCGGTGCCGACACTGCCGTCCGGATCCTCATACCCGACACAAACCTTAATGGTTTCCATGCCATCCAACACATCAAGCTTGGTGAGACACAACCCCGTGATACTGTTGATCTGTACCGCCTGCCGCAGCGCCACTGCATCAAACCAGCCACAACGCCGTGGACGGCCGGTGGTGGAGCCAAATTCGTTACCCCGTTCTGCCAGCTTTGCACCCACATCGTCGAACAGCTCTGTGGGGAAAGGGCCTGAACCAACGCGAGTCGAATACGCTTTTGTAATACCCAGCACGTAGTCGAGATACATGGGGCCAAAACCGCTGCCGACAGCGGTGCCACCAGCTGTGGTGTTAGACGAGGTGACATAGGGGTAGGTGCCAAGGTCAATATCCAGCAACGCCCCCTGGGCGCCCTCAAAGAGCAGATTTTTGCCTTGCTCGCGCAGGCCGTGCAACAAAGGGACAACATCACAGACCATCGGTTTCAGTTGTTCAGCTACCTTTGCACACTCATCCAGCGTCTGCTGAAAATCCACCGCCGGCTTTTTGTAATAGTTCGTCAACATGAAGTTGTGATACTCCATGACTTCGTTTAACTGGGCGGCAAAATTCTGCCAGTAAAAAAGGTCGCCTATGCGCAGGCCACGCCGGGCAGCTTTGTCTTCGTAGGCTGGCCCTATGCCACGACCGGTGGTGCCGATTTTCCTTTCACCACGCGCTTCTTCGCGTGCCAGATCGAGCTGTACATGGTGGGGCAGGATGATAGGACAGGCAGGTGATATACGTAACCGCTGCCGGACCGGCACGCCGCGCGCTTCCAGTTCAACAACTTCCTTGAGCAGCGCATTGGGTTCAATCACCACGCCGTTGCCGATAACACACTGGACATCAGGCCGCAGAATGCCGGACGGGATGACATGCAGCACGGTCTTCTCACCGTCGATGACCAGCGTGTGGCCGGCATTGTGACCACCCTGAAAGCGAATAACGGCAGCCACTTCCTCCGTCAGAAGGTCAACCACTTTACCCTTGCCTTCGTCTCCCCACTGAGTGCCGATTACGACAACATTGCGACCCATACTCATTCCCAGAAAGTTATTATTGTTATTATTTGTTCAATCACGGTTAGCCACCAGCTGCCATTTTTCGTCAACCTGCGCTAATAATCGCTGGCACCCAGCCGGCGGCAACTCATCTTCACTCAATGCACATTGCACCCGTTCACCCACTGCGCGCAATGCCGCAACTTCAGACAACAGCGCCTTGCGTTGTGCAGCAGGGGCATAAGGGGCAAAAATGATATCGCGCCCAGCGACCGCGTTTATCAACAGCTTCAGATTCACATCAAACCCCGTTGCCGGACGCAGGCGGCCAAACACTTCACCGACGTTATCGTAGCGCCCGCCCTGGGCCAGCGCACTGCCATGGGTAGGATGATAAACGGCATAAACCGGTCCGTTGTGATACCCGTACCCCGACAGTTCAGATACATCGAGGCGCAAACTGAGGCCTGGATGCACATCACTGACCTGCTCACCGAGGATTTGCAGCTCATCTAGAGCCTGCAGAACTGGCGCTGGCGCACCCGATAACTGCTGACGTACATCGTCCATCACTGCAAGGCCACCCATCATCAGAGGCAGAGCAGCCATCATTTCGGAGCACGGTGTTTTCTTCAGCAGCGCTCTGATGTCCGCCTGGGACTTTCGTTGAATGCAGGTGAACAGACGACCTTCATCTTCTGCTGCAAGACTGCCTTCGGCAATAAGTTGGGCAACCAAATGCAGATATATACCCATGTGACCCAGCAACAGCACTGGCTCTTCGACCTGAGCCTGCTGCACAGTGCTGAGCATCAGAGCAATCACTTCCGCGTCCGCATCCAGCCCGGCGGCGCCAAAAATTTCAGCGCCGGCCTTGAAAGGTACACGTGAATTTTGAGCGATCTGCGGGTTGGCAAAGACAACAGGGCCCGCATAACACAGACGCTGAACCGCATCCGTCACGAGGCTGTGCGCATCTATGCGGACAGCCTGAGAGGTCATGTCTGCGCGCACCCCGAGCTGCCGACCGCTGACCTGATCTACAACTTTTAGAGTCTGCAGGTCGAGGTCTTCACCGCTGCCGACCAGCAATGCATCGAGATACTCGATAACAGGTGGGTCCACGTACTCGAAACCCCAGCTGACAAACAGGTCCAGCACTTTGCGTCGCAGCAACTCGAGCTGCCAGGCGGCGGGCGGCAATAATTCGTCCACGCCGCGAGGCAGGCGCCAATGTGTTTTCATCTTTGCGAATCTATTAAGAAGTCAGAAGCGCTATCTAACCTTCTTTATCAAGATATTTGAAGAAATCACTGCTTGGATCAATGATCATTAGATCTGACTTGTCGCTGAATACGTTCACGTAAGCATTGATGCTGCGGTAGAACTCATAAAATTCAGGGTCTTTATTGAAAGCTGCTGCATAAATTGCGGCGGATTGAGCATCGCCTTCACCACGAATCTGCTCGCTTTCACGATAAGCTTCCGCTTCGAGAACAACTGCCTGGCGATCCGCATTAGCGCGCACTGCAAGGGCTTCTTCCTGACCTTCAGCGCGAAACTGGCGGGCTTCAATTTCCCGTTCAGAATTCATGCGTTCGTACACCGACGAAGATACCTGTACGGGTAAATCGATACGTTTCACCCTCACATCAACCACTTCAACCCCGTAGCCGCGCATTTTTTCATCGAGGTCGGTGCGCAGTTCCGTCATCAATTGATCACGCTCGCCGGACACTACTTCGTGCATATCGCGACGACTGATCTGGTTGCGCAGACCTTCGTTGACGCGCTCCTGCAACAATCGTTCAGCGCGACGGATATCAAAACTCGCGCTCTCATAAAAAGATGCCACGTCCGCAACCCGCCACTTCACAAACGAATCGACTTCGAGCGGCTTTTTCTCCAGGGTGTAGTAAGTCTCGGAATTCGAATCCAGAGTTAATACCCTGGCATCAAACAATTTAACCTGCTGAGCAATGGGCATCTTGAAATGCAGGCCCGGCTTAACGTCCGCACGCATGATTTCACCAAACTGCAGCAAGATTGCACGCTCGGTTTCATGCACGCGGAATAGCGATTGGCTGCCCAGCACTACGAGCAGCAATACAATTATCAATCCCACCAATGATTTCATCGACATGTCTTAACTCCTAATTGCCACGGACACGTGAGTTGTTTGTACGGGCACTGTTAACTTCTCGCAGGATCCGCTCCACCGCGTTGTCCATCATGGTCTGATCAATGACGCCTTCGCCGCCACCGGTGCGTTGCCGCGTAAGCTGATCCAAAGGCAGGTACATCATGTTGTTACCACCTTCCACGTCCACCATGATTTTGCTGGCGTTGCTGAGAACCGATTCGAGAGCATCAATATACAGACGATCGCGGGTTACCCGCTTAGCCTGCTGGTACTCTGCAAGTAATTTATCAAAGCGTTGCGCTTCACCGGTTGACCTTGCTATCACTCGGTCCCGGTAGGCGTTGGCTTCTTCTATCTGGCGTACCGCGCGACCACGCGCCTCAGGCACAACCTGCTGCGCATAAGCAGTCGCCTGGTTAATAAACCGCTGCTGATCTTCTTTTGCTTTCTGTACGTCATTAAACGCTTCCTGCACCTGTTGTGGCGGCGCACTGCGATCAATGTTGACCTTATTAACAAAAATACCTGTGCCATAACTCGTCAGATAATTCTGCAGTCGGGTTTGCACTTCAGCCGCAATGGCCTCACGACCGTCGGTGATGACCTGGTTCATGGTCGAGCTGCCCGCAACATGCCGCAGGGCACTTTCCGTTGCCTGAGCCAGGCTGGATTCGGGATTTTTCACGTTCACAATGAAATCTTTGGCGCTGTCCACGACCCACTGTACGGTGAGGCTGATGTCTACAATGTTTTCATCCTGGGTCAACATGCTCGATTGAGTCGAGTGCGAACGCACCTGGGTAACATTGACCAGCTCAACCTGATCAATCAGCGGTGGGTTCCAGTGCAGGCCTGGTTCTTTGAGAACTTCCTGTGCGGCGCCGAAACGGAACACAACGCCGCGCTCCTGCTGGTCCACCTGATAGACACCGGTAAAGGCATAGATGGCAATCAACACAAAGCCCACCAGTCCCAGCGCACCGCCGGAGATGCTTGCACCACCGCCACTGCCGCTGCCACCTTTACCGCCGCCAAAAATACCCGAGAGCTGGGATTGCAGCTTTCGAATCGCTTCGTCTAGGTCAGGTGGTCCCTGGTCAGAACGATTGCCCCAAGGGTCTTTATCTTTATCACCGCCACCTGGCTCATTCCACGCCATGTCTGTCTCCGCTTAGATTGTGCAGTCCGTTATTATGTAAGTGTTCGGGCTGGCTTTAGTTGCTGATCGAAATTTTAGGGGGGGTATTGTCACCACGCAACATAACTTGTGGTGAACTTTGCAGTTGCTTAAGCAGTCCGTCATCCGCTTGCAGGGTTAACTGCAGGCTGCCGTCTTCCATGGTTTGCTCATCCAACACCGCACCGGACCGATATAGCCAGGCGCGCGTGCGTCCGTCGGCAGAGTCCAATACTACCTGATGCGGCGCCGCAACACCCAGTGCCGCGCCGATTCCTTCTATCAGGGCCGTGATGCCCTGGCCGTTAATTGCGCTCACAGGGAAAACGCCTTTGACGTTACCGTGCGTTTCCTGCACCGCTTGCGGTATCTCGTTATGTGGCAACAGATCTATTTTATTCAAGACCAGCATCTCAGGCACCTGGTCTGCACCGATATCTTGTAGGACATCTCTGACCTGCTGCAGGCGTTCTTCGCTGAGCTCATCTGCAGCATCCACCACGTGCAGCAGCAGATCTGCATGCACCACTTCTTCCAGCGTAGCTTTAAATGCCTCTACCAAAGCATGTGGCAGGAGCGACACAAAGCCTACTGTATCTGCCAGCACCACGTCATTTAAACCCGGCACCGCAATACGACGCATGGTGGGATCCAGGGTCGCAAACAACTGATCTTCTGCATAGACGCTGGCGTTAGTCATCTGATTGAACAACGTCGATTTGCCGGCGTTCGTGTAACCAACCAATGCAACTGTTGGGGTACCGCGACGGCCACGACCGCGCCGATTCTGACTGCGGCGTTTGCTGACAACGGCAATCTTCTTTTCCACCGATTTGATGCGCTCGCTCAACATCCGCTGATCAAGCTCAATCTGTTTCTCACCCGCACCGCGCATACCGATGCCACCTTTCTGTCTATCGAGGTGAGTCCAACCACGAACTAATCGGGTCTGGGCATGTTTGAGCTGAGCCAGCTCAACCTGCAGCTGACCTTCGTGGCTGCGCGCGCGCTCGGCAAATATGGTTAAAATCAGTTCAGTGCGCGTAATCACGCGACACTCGAGCTCACTCTCCAGATTCCGTTGTTGGCCGGCTGACAATTCGTGATTAATCAACAGCAGGTCCGCATCACCTGCGCGCAGCAATTGTTTAACTTCTGCAACTTTGCCGGATCCGACAAATGCGCGAGCATCTGGCGCATCACGAGGTGAGACAACAACCTCAACCACATCGATTTCGGCCGAACGAGCCAGCTCAATAAATTCGTCTTTATCCGGATTCGCCTGGCCACGCAGTTCAACATGCAGCACAACGGCTCGCTTTCCGGCTTCGTGGCGTTCAAACAACATATTTGGTTACTACGTCCTGTGGACGATCCACATCTTCTATAGGAAGTACTGCAGGCGCCTGAGCGTTAATCCTCTTCTTCGCTACCCGTAGGCAGTTTGACGTTGCGTGCGGGTACCACGGTTGAAATGGCATGTTTGTAAACCATCTGGCTTACGGAATTTTTCAACAGCACCACAAACTGGTCAAAAGACTCAATCTGGCCCTGCAGTTTGATACCGTTTACCAAATAGATGGAAACCGGTACACGTTCCTTGCGTAAAGCGTTGAGATAAGGGTCTTGTAAGGTATGCCCTTTCGACATTGTGGTCTCCTTAAACGCTGGTCAGCCTAATTCAGGCACTTACTGTTCTTACTGTCCTTCCTGTTCTTACGTTCTGTTCAGATCGCAGATAGATCAGACTGACAAGCGACGCTGTCGCGACGTTCCCGCCGCTGTTATTTGATACCAAGCGTAACACGTAATGTTACAAGCCGTCATGACACGTTAGTACCGCTAAACCGATGGTTACAACGGTTTCACCGCACTGACAATCTCCGCAGCGAGTGTGTCAGCATCGCCCCAGAACAGGTTCTGTAAGTCTGGCCATTGGCGCAGCCAGGTCAGCTGCCTTTTGGCTAAGCGGCGCGTCGCGGTAACCGCATCAGCATGAAACTGCGCCTCACTGCATTCGCCGCGTAAATAGGCAAACCCCTGACGGTAACCTACCGCACGCAGTGCTGGCAGATCTGCCTTTAATTCTGGCTTTGCAAACAAAGCCTGCAGCTCATCAAGGAATCCCGCTGCCAGCATGGCTGCAAAGCGCGTCGCAATACGTTCATGCAGAACTTTGCGGTCGTCCGGCACGATGGCAAAACTGCGTATCTGGGCCTGCAGGCGTTCGACAGCAGGCGGCCCGCCAAGTTCCGACCACAGATGACTGATGGGTTGACCGGTTTGTTGCACAATCTCCAACGCCCGCAGCAGCCGCTGAGGGTTATTCGGGTGAATGTTTGCCGCGGCCTTTGGATCAATGGCTGCAAGCTCAGCATGTAATTCAGAGCCTTTACCCGCATCAAAAGCAGCCTGCAGCTGCGCCCGAATACCCAGGTCGGCACTTGGCAGTTCGGCGATACCCTCAACAAAGCGCTTCACGTAGAGCATGGTGCCACCAACTATCACCGGCAATTGTCCCTGCTGCAGAGCGTCTTCGACGAGTTGGTCAGCATCGGCAATAAAGTCTGCCGCGGTGTAGGTATCCTGGGGCTGGCGAAAATCGATTAATTCGTGGGGGTAGCGTGCCAGCTCAGCTTTGCTGGGTTTCGCGGTGCCGATATCCATGCCCTGATAAACCAGAGCTGAATCGGCACTGATCAATCGCACTTTATCAGCGCCACCCAGCTGATCAAACAGAGCCATGGCTGCCGCGGTCTTACCCACCGCCGTAGGGCCAAGCAGCAGGACAACCTGTCGATTCACTTACTGCCCCCGGTAGAACAGTTTGTCGAGGTCCGCCAAACTGCGGGTAAAGTAAGTGGGCCGGCCATGATTACACAGGCCAGCGTTTTCAGTGACTTCCATCTCGCGCAGCAGTCCATTCATTTCTGCAATGGTAAGACTACGGTTAGCGCGCACGGAGCCATGACAGGCGACGCTGGCCAACAGATCGAGTTGACCGCGAACCAGCTCATCGCTGTTACCAAACTCAGCCAGTTCAGCAATGAAATCACGAACCATAGGCTGCAACTTTTTAAAGGATATCAGTGCAGGCACCTCGCGCAGACACACTGACTGGATGCCGGAGCGCTCGATGACCAGGCCCGCCTGCAGGAAAGTATCACTTAGATTTTCCACCAGTTCTGCTTCTGCCTCGGTCACGTTGAGGTTTTCCGGCACCAGCAGACGCTGACGCGGGATTGATGCATTTGCCGCCTGAGCTTTCAGCTTTTCGTAGGTCACCCGCTCGTGCGCCGCATGCATATCAACAATCACCAGTCCTTCGTTGTTCTGCGCCAGGATATACACACCGTGCACCTGTCCCAGCGCATAACCCAATGGCGGGGTTTGCGACTGCGGCCCGCTAGCGGATGGTGCTGCAGCTGAATTTTCTATCGACTCAGGTTGTGCACCCGGAGACATTTCGAACGCAGCGCTCTCCTGTACCGACGGCCAGGTTTTTGTCGGCTGCCCGTCGGATTGGAAGGGCGCAGGGATTGACGACATGGTTACCGACGCCTGGGTTGTATCCTGAGTGTGTGGACGCACTTCCCGCAGGGCGCGATTCAAGCTGCCAAAAATAAAATCATGCACCGCGCGGGATTCGCGAAACCGCACCTCGTGCTTGGTCGGGTGCACATTGACGTCGACAGTATCCTGAGGCAGCTCAAAATACAGCACAAAAACCGGTTGCCGCCCATGGAACATGACATCCCGATAAGCCTGACGAACCGCGTGCCCGACTAACTTATCGCGTATCGCCCGGCCATTCACATAAAAATATTGTTGGTCCGCCAGACGTCGATGGAAGGCGGGCAACCCCACCCAGCCATGCAGACGCAAGTTATCCCAACTTTCATCAACCACAATACTGTGGGTGAGAAAATCTGCTGTAAGGACCTGACCGAGACGTTCTTCAATACGCCCCGCCGGCAGCGACAACGCCCGCGCGGAGGCAGACTTTTCAGAGGATTGCCGCAACGAAAAACCAACGTCCATATGCGCCAGGCTCAAGCGCCGGAAAACCTGATCGATCTGTGCTGCCTCAGTGCGCTGAGCTTTCAGAAATTTACGCCGCGCAGGTGTGTTGTAAAAAAGATCGCGCACTTCCACGGTGGTACCGGTGTTGTGGGCAACCGGCCCCTGCGCCATCAGCTCTCCGCCATGCACCTCGCGCTGATAACCCATGGTGGCGCCAGGTTGGGCGCTGCTGAGTTTGACCCGGGCAACAGACGCCACACTGGCCAGTGCTTCACCACGAAAACCAAGACTGGCAATGCCCAGCAGATCTTCTGCATCTGTTATTTTACTGGTTGCATGCCGTTCCAGCGCCAGAGATAAATCGTCATGGTGCAAGCCATAACCATTGTCCTGTACCCAGATCAGACTGCTGCCACCTTCCTCTGTGCGGACATCGATCTGGGAAGATTGTGCATCCAGGCTATTCTCAATCAGCTCTTTCACGATAGACGCAGGCCGCTCCACAACCTCGCCGGCGGCAATTTGGTCTGCAACAAAACCTGAAAGCCGCTTGACGCGGTTAGCGGACATTTAGACGCCTGGAATCAGCAGCACCTGACCCACTCTGATGGTGTCTGTGCGCAATCCATTTTTTGATTTGAGCGTTGTGGAACTGACGCCATAGCGCTGCGCAATCGCAGACAGGGTATCTCCCGGCGCGATGGTGTAACGCATTTCATTGGACGGCACATTTTGTGATGCCAGCAACGACCCCGGCGGCGGGTTGAGGCGCATAAACTGTTCAATACCATCGGCGATGGCACGAGCAACGTTAGCCTGATGCTCGGCCTGAGACAGGCGCCGGGCTTCGTCAGGATTGGAAATAAAACCTGTTTCAACGAGAATAGAAGGCATATCCGGCGACTTCAGCACAATAAAAGCCGCCTGCTCCACACGCTGTTTGTGCAGCTTTGTGACCCGACCCAGGTTCGCCAGTACCGCGCGACCGGCATCAATACTTTGCGATCGATTGGCATCCATGGACAAATCCAGGAGCACATGTGCCAGCACCGGATCCTTGTCGGTCAGACTGACGTCACCCACACCACCCAACAAATCAGCTCTGTTTTCTCGCTCAGCCAGCCAGGCCGCCGTTTCACTGGTTGCGCCGCGATCTGACAGGGTATAGACCGAAGCACCTTTCACGTTGGCTTCTTTGAACGCATCCGCGTGAACCGAGACAAACAGATCAGCCCGTTTATCCCGTGCCAGCTGAGTACGCTTGCGATGAGGCAGGTAGTAATCACCAGTTCGTACCAGTTCAGCACGAAACCCATCTACTGCATCCAGATTACGTTTCAGACGCCGTGAAATCTGCAGCACAACGTTTTTCTCAAGAATTCTTTTCGGTCCGACCGCGCCGGGGTCATCGCCACCGTGCCCGGCATCAATGGCAATGACTACATCCCGATTCGCCGCGGGCGCGACAACTCTGGGTGCCGGCGAGCTGGGATTGGGTTCAATCAGGTCGATGACCAGCCTGTGGCCGTAAGGGTCAATAGGTTTGAGGGTGAACGCTTTAGGCGTAAGGCGGGTTTTTGTATCGATGACAATCCGATAATTGCCGTTGCGATCTGCCGCCCGCAGGCTGTTCACCCGTGCTCGCCCAACCGCTACCACGGCGGGATCAAAGCCGGGTCGAGGCGTCACACCCTGCAGATCCACCACCACCCGGTGTGGGTCTTCAAGGGTGAAAATCTTATAGGTCACAGCCGCGTCAGTATCAAACACCACCCGGGTGGAATCCGGCGCTTCGTGCATACGCACACTTTTCAACGCCACAGCAGATACCGACCCAGGCAACAGGCTGCTAAACAGCAGCGCAAGCAGCGCTGCCATCTTTGTGTTTCTGTTCAGCACGTTAAGTAAAGACAACTGACACCTCACGGGATACCGGTTGGGTATCCGTTACTACCTCTAGTCTGATTTCAACATCCGGATACGGCAACCAGTCCGCCGCTTTTTCCGGCCATTCAAACAGCTTCAAACCCGGGCCATCGATAATTTCGTCAAATCCGATAAATTCCAGTTCCTGTGGATCATTCACCCGATACAAATCGAAGTGAAACACCTCAGCTGCTGACATATTGTACGGCTCCAGGAGCGTATAGGTAGGGCTCTTCACCACGCCGGTATGTCCCAGCCCGACAAGCAGACCCCGAACCAGGGTTGTTTTACCCGCACCCAGCTGACCACGCAGGAAAACCACAGCCCGACCACCGAAGCGTGTCAGTAAAATGTCACTCAGCCTGCGACCAAAGGCAACCGTTGCCGCTTCATCAGGCAAATGCTGATGCAATTCCGGGCTTTGTAACTCAACCGGTTTGTCCATGTCCTGAAAGTTCACAACGTCTGTCTACAACACCTTTTTATAACAGCCAGGCTTCTCTATAACAGATCAGGCAGCGCCGCAATGACATCCGTAGCCTGCAGACTGCGTTGACCCAATTCGAGCGCTGCATGATCTGCCGCTGCGCTATGCAGTGCAACACCTGCATTCAAGGCCTGCAACGGCGAGAATGGACCGCCTGTGTAACCCAGCATGCCACCAAGCACACCACTCAACACGTCACCCATACCAGCAGAAGCCATGCCCGGATTGCCATGTCCGCAGATCGCCAGTTCCGCATTGCTTTCTGCAAAAACAATCGAGCCTGCACCTTTCAACACTCCCTGGCAGGCGTACTGCTGAGCCAGATGTCGTGCCGCAGCAAGGCGATCAGCTTGCACGATGTCTGCCTCCAGGCCCAACAGGCGCGACGCTTCAGCGACATGAGGGGTAATTGTTAACGCCCCCCCATGCCAGGCACCTTCGGCTGCCAGCCAGTATAATCCGTCAGCATCAACCAGGGCGGGTCGACCCGAGGCCTGAACCTGATCAAAAAGTGATTTTGACCAGGGACTGCGGCCCAGACCTGGACCCAGAACCACACAACTGGCTTTACCCAGCAGTGCTTTCACCCGCTCATTGTCGTCTGATTCGGAAAAGCCCAGTACCATGATTTCCGGTGTGCGGCTGACCAGTGCTGAGGTGTGCTGAGCCCGGGTGAGCACAGTGACCATCCCCGCACCTACACGAAGCGCCGCCTCTGCAGCCATGATCACCGCACCAGGCATATTGTCATCACCGCCCGCAATGACCACATGACCCTGGCGATGTTTGTAAGTATTCACTTCCAATCCAGGCAACATATCACGGCGCCAATGCAGGCTTGTAACCGGGCTTGCGGGGAAACAGTGCGACGGTACGCCGAGATCATCAAGGTGCCGCTGGCCTGCCGCCGCAAGGCCAGCGCCAGTGTGAAGACCAATTTTGGGCGTGATAAACGACAACGTATGGGTGGCACTCACCACCGCGCCTGGCGCAGCCCCGGTATCGGCGTCGACACCCGATGGCACGTCCAGACTAAGGACCGGTTTGCCGGACGCATTGATCCGTTGTATCCAGTCGGCGTATTCCGCCCGGGGCGCACCCCGCAGCCCGGTGCCGAGCAAGCCATCCACAATCACGCCACCTCGCAGGGATTGAATTTTATTGCCCTCGATCAGGCCGCCCAGCAGGGGTTGAATTTTATTGTCTACAACCAGGCCGTTTGCAGCTGCTTCGGCAAACGCTTTAGCCGCATCCCCCTGCAGAGATGAAGGCGGTTCTGCCGCCAGAAGCTGCACCTCTATACCGAGGCGATGAGCGCCGCTAGCAACAAGATAAGCGTCGCCGGCGTTATTGCCTTTGCCACAGACAACGGTGATCGCACCCACACCGGCAAAGCGATCCAATAAGAGTGCCAACGCCGCTTGCGCAGCCCGCTGCATCAGGGTGTAACCGGGCACATTGAGCTGTGCAATGGCATTTGCATCTGCAACCCGGCTGTCCGCCGCAGAATAGAGGTAGGTATCAACTGGCAACATAAACACACAGCGCTTTGCGAACGGATCATTATACTGCGCTTTTCATCACATAGATGGCCACTGATGCTGCCAGATCTGCAGACAATCAAAACCTGGGGACAGGCGCTGGGCTTTGCCGATATCGCAATCAGCGATGTGGATTTAAGTGCACATGCCCCACATGTCCGAGCCTGGCTGGCCAGGGGCTTTGCCGGTGAAATGGGTTATCTCGAACGCAACCTCGAAAAACGTCTGCACCCTGAACTGCTGGAAACAGACACCTGCCGGGTCATCACTGCGCGCATGAACTACTTACCCGCGGATACTCAGCCACTGGAGATTCTCAACGATTCCAGTAAAGCCTACATCTCGAGATATGCCCTGGGGCGCGACTACCACAAGGTGCTGCGTCGCCGGCTGGCAAAACTGGCCACACAGATCAACGCGCAACTACCCAGCCATCGGTTCCGGGCTTTCACGGATACCGCACCGGTGCTGGAAAAAGCGCTGGCGGCAAAATCCGGCCTGGGCTGGATCGGCAAACACACCCTGCTGTTGAACAAGGAGGCCGGTTCCTGGTTTTTCCTGGGAGAGATCTACACTAATGCACCGCTCGAGATAGACATCGAAGATTCCGCCTACGAAGATGCCTGCGGCAAGTGTCAGGCCTGCATGACCGTCTGTCCCACCCAGGCGATTATTGGTCCACAACAGCTGGATGCACGGCGCTGCATTTCGTATCTCACCATCGAACATAAAGGTGCGATTCCAGAATCACTGCGCAGCGCCATGGGCAATCGCATTTATGGCTGTGATGACTGTCAGCTGTACTGCCCGTGGAACCGCGACGCGCCATCTGCTACCGAGGCGGACTTCCAGCCACGACACGGCCTGGAGCAGGCACAACTTGTCGATCTGTTTGCCTTGAATGAAGCAGAGTTTCTCAGCCTCACCGAAGGTTCAGCCATGCGTCGAGTATCCTACGAACAGTGGCAACGCAACCTTGCGGTTGGCCTGGGCAACGGACCACCCAGCCCCCGGGCCATAGAAGTACTGAAGAATCGCCTGGTCAGCGCATCACCCATGGTGGCAGAACATATCCGCTGGGCGCTGCAGCAACTGGCGGCCTGATCAGTCAGGCATCTGAAAAAAATGCTCTCGATAGTGTTGCAACTCGCCGATAGATTCGCGGATGTCTGCCAACGCGGTGTGTTCGTTCTTTTTTGAAAAACTATTGGCCACATCCGGCCGCCAGCGTTTCGCCAGCTCCTTTATTGAGCTGACATCCACCATTCGATAATGCAGATAGTTCTCCAGATCCGGCATATACAGGGTTAAAAAGCGCCTATCCTGCCAGATGGTATTGCCACACAGCGGCGCAGCACCTGCTTCCACATGCTGCTCTAGAAAGGCCAGGGTTAAAGCTTCAGCTTCCCGCTCCGTGACACCTTCTTTACCAATGCGCTCGAGCAGACCTGACGCACGGTGATGGGTCTGATTCCAATCGTCCATGGCATCAAACAGTGCCTGGGGTTGTTTTATGGCCAGCACAGGGCCTTCTGCAATGGTGTTCAGTTCACTGTCGGTGATAATCGTCGCCATCTCGATGATGCGCTCGACGTTGGGGTCCAGCCCAGTCATCTCAAGATCCATCCAAACCAGATTTTCGCTCAAACCCTACTCCTTTTAATCTGCGTGCAACGACCGACGTCTGTGCGGCCCCGAGTAGAAAGGATAATATGCGTTACCCGAAATAGATGCCAAAGAGGTTTTGTGTGCACCCAACTGGAAGTGTGAGCCTGCTTGAACCCGAAGAATTACAATCCAGGCTGCAAAGCAGTGACAACGTGCTCCTGGTTCAGGTCAGCAGCGAAGAAAATTTTTTACAGGCCCATATTCCCGGCGCTGTGCTCGTGACACCTCGCTCACTGGTTTGTGGTATTCCACCGGCCACCGGCAAGCTGCCCGACCTTGACCACTTAAACGAGCTGTTTAGAAGCCTGGGCTACGACCCCGGGCTGGACATTATTATTTACGATGACGAAGGCGGCGGCTGGGCGGGTCGCTTCGCCTGGACACTGGACGTCATTAGCCACCGCAGCTGGCAGTATCTGAATGGCGGCCTACATGCATGGCATGGCGCAGGACTGCCGCTGGCGCAAGGTCCCGGCACACCAAGACCCGCCACACAAACCAATCTGAGCATTGATACATCACCAATTGCTGAGGTGGCAGATGTGCTTGCGACCATCGACGACCCTGAACAGGTGGTATGGGATGTTCGCTCAGCAGAAGAGTACGCCGGTCTTCGCCAGGTGTCTGCCAGAGTTGGACATGTTCCAGGGGCCATCAACCTGGACTGGCTGCTGCTGCAGGATCCAGCGCGCCAATATAGATTTGTTAAGGACATCTCCAATACACTGGAAGCGCTGGGAATCAGTCAGGCAAAAACAATTATTACCCACTGCCAGACCCATCATCGTTCAGGTCTTTCATATATGTTGGGACGCTTGTTAGGCCTGCCAATCCGCGCTTACCATGGCTCATGGTCAGAATGGGGCAACCTGCCGGACACACCCATAGAGGTATCTGCATGAGCCAGCTGTTCAGCACCCTGCAGAAAGTTCTGCCTCAGCACGGCTTATCCAGACTGGGCGGCCGTATTGCCAACAGCACGACACCCTGGCTCAAAGACCTCGCCATCCGACAGTTTGCCCGCGCTTACAACGTTGATCTGCAGGAGGCTGAACGAGGAGATTTTGACGACTACACCTCGTTTAATGATTTTTTCACCCGCGCGCTGAATGCCGATGCCAGACCTCTGGCTGAGGGAGACCAAACCCTCGTCTCCCCTGCGGATGGCACTGTCAGCCAGCTGGGTCATATTCACGATGATCAACTCCTACAGGCAAAAGGGCATACCTACAGCGTACACAGTCTCGCCGGCGAACTGGGCGACGAATTCAACAACGGCACCTTCTGCACCATTTATCTTGCGCCCAGCGACTATCATCGTGTGCACCTGCCGTTCAGCGGGACGCTGACACACACCAAAGCCATTCCCGGCGCGCTGTATTCAGTTAACGCAGCCACTGAAGCTAATATCGAAGGGCTGTTTGCGCGCAATGAACGATTAGTCTGCCGGTTTGAAACTGAGCATGGTCCGATGCTGGTGGTTCTGGTGGGCGCCATGATCGTGGCGTCTATTGAGACCGACTGGCTCGGTCCAGAGTCACCCTATGTGTTAGTCGAAGACACTGAACACCACCTTGTGTACCGGCGAGGAGATGAGATCGGTCGATTTCTGCTGGGATCTACAGTGATCTGTTGCTTTCCCGAAGGCAGCGTTAATCTCGCAGAGCACCTGGCAGTGGGGTCAAAAGTAAAAATGGGTGAAAACCTCGGCACGTTCAACGGGGTCTGAACGTCATCACCTCATCTAACGACCCGGCAGTAAGCTTTTGCATTAACAGCCTGTCCACACCCAGGGCCACTCCGGCACAGTCCGGCAAACCCGCTTGCAGCGCCGCGAGAAAAGGCTCATCTAACTGCTGGATGGCCAGCCCCCTTGACCTGCGGATCTCATTATCCTGCTCAAACCTGCGCCGATGTTCGACAGGATCTGTCAGCTCATAATAACCGTTAGCCAGCTCCACACCATCTACAACAAGTTCAAAGCGGTCGGCCACTGCGGGGTTGCGCGAATTCAGACGCGCTAATGCCGCTTGCTCCGCAGGATAATCAATAATAAAAAATCGGCCAGGCTTGAGCTTTTCGCAGGCAAGGGCAAAAGCCAGATCAAGCTGATCTCGAGGCGCACTCAGGTCAGGCACTAGATCGACATATTTTACCTGCTGATATTCAGCCGGGCCCAGAATCAGATCGCACAGTTGCGCAACTTCGGTCATCAGAAGACCTGCGTCATAACCCAGTTGATACCACTCAAGCAGATAGAACTCGGGGTTGTGCAGCCGCCCCTGTTCATCATGGCGAAACGCTGGCGCCAGCTGATAACAACTTGGCATACCATCCGCTAACAATCGTTTTAAGTAATATTCCGGAGAGGTCTGCAGAAAACCATAGCCAGGCACGCCAATGGCTTCAACATCCGGGTCTGTGACCGTATGACGACCCAGCAGCGGCGCGTGTACTTCAAGCACCTCGCGCTGCGCGAAAAAGCCACGGATCTGAGCAAACATCTGTGCCCGCGCCTTCAGCGCGACCAGGTCAGCAGAAGGTTGCCAGGATGTCATCGGTGCGGACTAGACCTTGCTAGCGTGCACGGCTGACGTATTCCCCGGTGCGAGTGTCAATCTTCAGGACGTCACCGATATTCACAAACAGCGGCACCCCTTTGATGGTGGCGCCGGTGGACAGAGTGGCCGGTTTGGTGCCGCCACTGGCAGTATCACCTTTCAGACCTGGGTCAGTGTCGGTGACTTCCAGTTCAACAAAAGTAGGCGGAGCAACCGCAATGGGGTCGTCATTCCAGAGGGTAATCTGGCAGACATCCTGCTCTTTCAGCCACTGATGGGCCTCCCCGACAGCCGCTTCGGTGGCGGCAACCTGTTCAAAACTGCCGTCTGTGCGCATGAAATGCCAGAATTCACCATCGCTGTAGAGATACTCCATATCGAGGTCCATAACGTCCGCAGCTTCAATACTTTCACCGGACTTCATAGTGCGCTCCCACACTCGACCGGACTTGAGGTTGCGGAATTTAACCCGGTTGAACGCCTGGCCCTTGCCGGGTTTTACAAATTCGTTCTCTAATATGGTGCACGGATCCCCATCGAGCAGGACTTTCATGCCGGATTTGAATTCGTTGGTAGAATAGGTAGCCATAATTCTCGCAATCTAATAATTGAGCGGCGCGCATGATAACCCCGATTGAAACGCCTTGGGAGCCCGACATTTGGCGCAGGGAACTGCAGCAGGCCATCAGGACCAGTTCTGAGCTGTTGCAGTATGTCAAAGTCCAAAGTGAGTTTGCCAGTGATGACGAACCCTTTCCTGTGCGC